CTGGAACCCAGGCACAAGACAAGTCGAAAATGATCAATCAGTCATGATAATCGTGATAATCCATGAATATTACGTATAACGTGACTCTTTTATTAACAGATGTCTTCTAAAAATTAATTACATAACCGAACTGAATCGGTCGAATATGTCTGTTTTCTTTGTGATTTATGTAATATCTCTCAGAAGGTCCTGGTATAAATGTTTTACTAAGTGTTTTATTGGTGCTTTTGACATAGATCTCCCTTTTCAACCAGTAAGGACCAACTGCATAACTGCATTGTCAGAAGTCGGGTCATTCAATTTCTTTGCACGTAACTTCCCTCAAGTGTTCCTAGTTACAGTGTATTGTTAAAGTGATCTTATCTTAGGATATTGACTTTTATGGCTAGGAAAAATATCACGAAAATTTTTTAACATTATAATTTAACTTAGTCCGACACGATTTTGCCAGGTAAGATGAAGGAAAATTAAACCGAATTTAGAAGGACAGCGAGATGAATAAAGAAGTCGAGTTTATTTAGCCGTCAAATGAATGGTTATCCAAAAGTGCAGACCCTTTTGTCTTATATTCTCGCGGAAGCGAGGAACTGCGATGAATTTTAGCAAAAACAACCACCCAAATAATGCAAAATTGTGCGAAAAAGGAAGTTGTCTAGATCGTGATTTGCCAGAAGTTCCAAATTATAACACCCAACCAATGTAAACTGCGAGGAAATTTTCTCCAATAAAAAAGCGATATTGTTTACCTTACATCTCCTTAGTACACAATTCATGATTTCTGCGGAAATCCAGGAGGATCATCATGAACAAGACAAAAAAATTTAACATGTCAGCTTTCAAGTTTTTGCTTTTGATTTAAACAGCAAACCAGCGAGAACATCTGCCGCAACATTTTAATAATTCAAACACTTTTTTTCAGATAACAAATGTGTTCTTCTAAACTGAGACGAAAACCATATAAGTGTTCTGGTGTCGGCCTTTATTCTAGAACAATATATCTGTTCCTTAATTTTCTCTCTTCATTTTTCTCCAAGAAACTTGATATAAACAAAAAAACATTTTTTTTTATGATCAAACTGATCATCAGACTGTGTCAGAATTGTGTATAGATTTAATAACAATGACCAAAACCGCAGATTCTAGGTAAATTACATTTAAATTGATTCATAATGATTTTGATGAAAGGTAATTGGCTAAAGGTAAAGAAACCCATATTAAGAGCCAATTAAACGTCTTAGGCACGAAAGCACCCCAATCACTGGCATTTGATGCAAAAGATTTCAATTTGACTTTGATACCGACCTTACCGAAAAAATGCATTCAAGATACAAACACTTGCTATTTCTGGAAATATTAACAGAATCATGTTAGTTGAAACAAAATCTTCGAGCTTTATCAAATTGAAAGCGTTCGGTTGCTTCACACTGAAAACAAAGCTTCATTTTCAATTCTGATAAGACAATATTCGCTATTGTCTGTGTGATTTATAATTATACAAATACAGTCTAAACGCGTTCAGGAGTATTTTAGAGTGGTGATCTATTCGACTTTCAGAGTGCGAGTGTGAACAAGATGTCTGTGGGTAAAAACTGCATTCATCAAAAATTTGAATATATTATGGCGTAATAAAACTTTTCGATCTCATGCTAAAAGCTAGATCATTATACGAGCTTTTTCCTGCCGATTTATAGATTTTAATGTCGGATATCAAGAAACAAGATTAATTAACGAAATGCACGCGATAAACGTTCGAAAACGGCATAAGACCGGGAAGAAAAAATCGACACATCACTTCAACAGTTCTTTGCGGCAGACCGCTTCAAGTGTACTGCTTCCAAAAAGTCGCTGCCACTGATTTTAGCGGAGCGACTTGTTGTGGAAACAAAAGTCTGTCAGAACGTCAAACTTACTATGCCTCGTGTGTTTCAGGCTTCCTAGATTTTGAAAAACGATAATTGCGCTTTTTCGTTTTAACTTTGAGTAATATTGAATTCAATTTTATCTCTTACTTCGACTGCGTTTCGAAAAGAGAGAGAATGGAATATTCACGCCAATCAAGAATGTCACATCTGAGCCTGACTGTAATACGAACAGCGGCTATTCAATGGGCACACATGCTCACAAAACTCCCACTCAAAATTGATGAAACGTCACGCTGTTGGGTTTGATCCGTCAACCAAGGGCTTCATTTTGTTTCCATAGAAACAGTAGGTAAGAACTCTTATCACTGATTACGAATAGAAACTTCAGTTTCTTTCACTTGTACATTCGTCGCTCCATCAATTTTTATTTAAAAAAATGATTTTGTTCCCTTACACTAGTATGGCTTCATGTTACTCGTCATTTTGCTTTATTTTTTAAAATTTTTGTTAGTTTTCCTTTTTCATTATTGTCTTAATTTTATTTATTATTTTTTATGTCTGCGGGAATTAAATGCGGTCTATCTTCTCAGCTCCCAATCAGAAATAACTCTTAAAATAACTTTACAATGAATTTAAACTACAGCAAATAGCAAAATTGAAAATTACAACATTTGGTGATTTAGAAAAGTTGAGCAGACATCTTCGCGATCATTCTGATTTTCTGGTCTGGGAAATCCTTCTTGAAACTTTCGTTTCTTCGATAGTATTAAGATCTTACGAAACCAATTAGCGATCCTTCAAACAATGTCTATAAGTTCTGAACTGATGAGTTACGCATATTTCAAAATAACTAAGATACTGCGTGAGACCCGATTGGTCATTGATTGTATCAGTAAAACCTAGGGAAATAGAAAGCTTTTACAGTTATGCGGTTAGTTTTTTGGAATAATCAGAGCTAATTTTCGGGCTTAAAATTGTCATCGATTTCGAATGTCATGTCAACACTAACCGTTATAAAAAATGGCGGATTGTTGTCTAAACATAGATCATTTTAAAGTTCAAAACTACCAAAACATTTGAACCGAGGGTTTTTATTCTTCGGAAATACCGTAACCTAATTTTATGACTAAAGCGTTTGCGTATTCTTTTGCCAATAGCCGTTACCTAGCTATGAATTGTCTCTTCTATCTTGAAAAAAATTTCCATTTCTCTTGGCTCTGAAACAAAAAACTATATAGAATATTATTTCTGTTATCATAGTGGCTCCCGTAAATTTGTTAATGCGAATGACAATTTCTTGAAATTTGTGAATATTATTTTTCATCTTCCACATGGCAATTCTGTGTGAATCGTTACACCGTAATTATATTTATAAAATTCATTCTAAACCGAAACCTGCTCAAAATACCTCGTCTGGTTGAAATTTGTAGAAATCAGGCCTGTTCAAAGCTGAAGCCTGGGCAAATGTACGTCTCTTCATAGAAATGAACAGACGAATCACGAAATCACTTTCACAGATGAATATAAATGTATCAGAAGTAACTAGAAAAGGAGAAATTTACATAGATTATGAAATGTGACCCCATTTACTACCCATCATGAAAAATGTTCGCTGAGCTTACCTTCAATTTGTAATAACTATCACCTTCTTCTTGTTTAAAAAACAAATCTTTAACGAAAGCCCGTCTGTTCGTTTTAACAAAAGGCTGTGGTCGCGCCAGAATATCCTCATTTAAATCGGAACCATAACGCGGCAACAAATTCATGCTTACGCTGGTCCTTACAGAGGTTTTCTCAATGGCGACTTCGTTTGAGTTCTCCCGATGCAATCGCAAAATACTTCTTCTTCCGATGTCTTGTGGAACTGACAAGCATAATCCGTCGCGAGAACTGCGCTTTAAATTTGTTTGAAGATGAGTCGAAGACGGATGCAATCGATGAACAAGTGTTTCTGAGCCATTTTCGTTTGGTTCTCTCAATACCTCATTAATTTTTACTCGCACGTCGCATTCGTCTAACGAGTCGTTGCAGTCATCGAACAAACCATAATCAGAGTCTGGTCTCACACGGGAAATATACTTGACTTTATCCCAGTTTGTTGCCATTACAAGAACGTTAAGAATCCTTCAAGTGCTCTCTGATCAACTCATGAAATAGGTTTGCAGGTTGTTTCTTTAATCGTTAGCAAAAAAATAATAATATTCTCCATGGCTCAATTGAAAAACACCAATATGCTGATGATATTGATTTATACGAAGAGTGCTGTTCGATCGCTCTATGGTCGCTGATTCCCGGTAAAAATTACGACAAGAGTAATTTATCATTGTTCAGCTAGCTGGCACTTCGTCGAAATAGGATTAAAAAAGTTTTCATACTGTTGTCTATTGAGTAAGTTCATCTTTCATCAGTGCCAACAATAATGCAAGCCGCTCACTGAATAAATAATTTTAAAAAATGAATCTCTTCATACATTCGGCAATATCTGTTAAATAAAACACCACTGGAAATAAACCACAATTTGTCCAAGGCGAGGAAAACATTCAAACTTCTTATCAACGTTGCATCTATTAAGCTGAGTCTTCCCTCTAATGGCTTCAAAGAGTTACCGGATTTATCCGTCTGGCGAGCTATTGGCTGGAAAATACAAAGCACTCTTGCTCAGCTGTCACTTTTAACAATACTTCTTCGCTCTCGTTGTGGGTAGTGAATAATTCATGGCCGAATTACCCTCCATTTAATACACCTACGAAAAGCTCTTGGTACTTTTTGGTATCAAGTTTGCGTGAATTCGCCACGGTTGCATCCAGTAATCCTTCGATTTAGTCCATACAGACAATGAAAATGTAAAGCTAACTCATATGTTTCAAAGATCTCAATTAATATCACAAGACAAGGGGGAGGGGATATCTACAAATGTGAAATTGCTTTTCAAAATTCTGGGGAATACTTTAAAAGTATGTCTTGCTTCCGTATCTTTTAAGATAAAAGCCGTCGTAGAGGAAGAGCCCCTAACTATTTACACTCTAACATCAGTATGCATATTCCCCATACTGCCATTTATACATTTTCTACGGTGTTGACGAGGATAATTTGTTTGAAAATTAAGAGCTGTTTTATTTTTGATCATTCCTTTATTCTCCTGACCTAAATATTTGCTCCAACGGTAATAATATCCACTGCCAAAAACCGAAGTTTTTTACTACTTGCCACAATTATATCAAGACAGCCACAACTTTCCATTAACAAAAATTTCCCAATTATGATCAAGTTCTTTTAGTTTCAGTAACGTAAAGTTCCACTGATGTTGCATGAAAGAGGTTTTCTTTGATTTTACCAAATTAGCCAGGGTTACGCGGATGCAGAAAAGAGAAACAACGTTCTCTCAAAATAAAATTGTCTGAAAAACAAACATCTGTCACTACACACAAAAGAAACTACGTGGACTCTATCGCCCTAACTTCACGCTATTTAATTTGCTTTATTTCCCCAATGCAGGAAGATCTTTAAATTCAAAATCAATCCTTTAATATTGTTTCTAAGTAATTCCCCTAAAGATCAATGATCCGCGCATTGTAGTATTATTTGCTTTTATCGGAGAGATTGACCCCCCTACCCAATTCAACTAAATGTTTCCAGTCAAATTTGAAATTATCGACCTTGTGTAATTTGGTGGTTTTTACATAATTTAATCTTGTTTTGTTCCATTCTCGCTTTTAATTTAATTGAGCTTGATAATTCCGGCTTTTACGGTGCCAAAAATGTTTCAATTGGTGGGATACTTTCACTTATAAGATATGATGATTCATTAAATCCTTAGGAAGCAACGAATATTTGCTTGGCATCGAGGGAAATGAGCTTGTTTCTGTGACTGCGAATTTAAAACTTATTTAGTTCTTATCAATGCATTTTTGTCGGCAACATTTCCGACGCATTCTGATCTATCCCCTAATCTATTCTTACTAACCACTGGTGAAGATTGGCCATGACATAACTGTCAAATCGTTTAGTTTCTTTGATAATCAACACATTGGAAATTTCCCTTTAGACACCCCTCGTCCACTAGCATCTGACTATTTGTGAAAGCAAACAAAAATGTGCTCCATTCTAATAAAATACGCGTCCTTGCTTTAATATCAGAATAATTTTCGTCCAGCCATGCATACGTTATTCGCGCTGTTCCAATCGATGTCATTGAATCAAAAACCCCTGCTCAGGTCACTCCACATGAAAACAATAAAGCGACACTGTCAAATGATTTAACGTGAAAATCGTCTTTTTTTCCAAAACGAACTTAGCATGCCGTTACAGAAGACGAGAATGACGAAGAAAACATCAATTTTCAAAGCAGAAGGCAAGAAAGTTCCTTCTCTCGGTTACCTTATTCTCTCCCTCCCCCTGAGAAAGCTCATCCTCCAATGTTTCGTGATGTATTGATATGAGACGAAGTCGAGACGGAAATGTATATGTGTAGTTTTTATTCATTACACAACAACATACACCTGCAGACAAACGTGAAAGGTTTACAAAAATTCATCGCTAAAGAGAAAACTAGTTGTAATCTAAATAAAACTAAAAAGACATCTGTTAATAAAAGTTCGCTTAAAAATGAGATAAAATGTAGTTACAGCCGTGAGAACGGAGCGACCTTCCCCTCTGCATGAGAAGTAGGTCACGTAGACAATGGTCTTCTGAACATGGCTGCTAATATCGCTGATGAAAACCACCTCATCAGATCACCTCTCTTGGTTAAGATAAGAAAATAATTGTAGCTTTCATGTTCCTCAGTAAAATGTTTGCGGTTTTACAATAATCATATTATTATTGTATTGGGTTTATTACAAGAGGAGTTGTTATCAGCCCGTGTCAAAAAGTAACCAACACACATTCTCCCTTCCCCCTCGGAATATACTCTTCACACGTTTTAAAACAACAGAAAATTATAAGAAATAAGGCTACTGCTCAAGTAGTAACTAAGATTCTACTCTACGGGGGCCCTTGCAGAACTGCAAAGGTTTTTATAAAGAGATGTAAACCATCAAAACGGGTCAGTTTAGTTTGGTTGTCAAATTCTCCCCGTATGTTTTTATTTGATTTATAATTCTCGCTTGATCTTTCATTCAGCAGAATCAGCTACAAGGTGGATTGTCCTTTCTCATGAAGGCAACCTTTGCCTAGCTACGCTACTTTTGGTACATTATTCTATCACTCAGTAATATCTTCCAATTGCAACTCGTCAGTTTTGTTATGAAACCCACGCCAGGAACACACGAATCAAGATGCCTCTCCTCAATGCCTCAAAGCCGCACACACGAAAGTAAATCGAATTTTCTCGAGTTTCGTTTCATACTTCATTGCTTTGAACAAAAGTTCACATCTCAGACTGCTTCCTTAACAATGCTTGCCATTAGAAAATGCAGTTATTCAAACGACGTCACTCAAGCTGCTGATTGTGAATGAAAAAGCGAAAGGTGGCAACTAAATGTGTTGTTAAGACGACGATATACACGCGATTTTATCCTTTGAGTTGTGCACGCATGGTCAAGCCACATCTACAGACGATTTACTTTGTACAGTAATCTACACGAACCTCTTATCTTTGGCTTTTTAGGACTTTTTTTATATTTTTAAAGAAGCGACAACTGTTAGAAAATTCATTGAAAATCATTTCGTTCGAGAAAACATCTGCTTTTTTATCACCGTCGGTTTACAGTAGATGCAGCTAATGCAAACAATTCTGAACTATTTTAATGTGTATTGTTCCTTTACCACAGTAGCGAACACTTTAGCACAAACGGTGTCTCAGATCAGTAGCTATTTTTCATACCCGTCCAATTTGGCTTCTTTATCGCAGAGTTTGGAGCGCTCGTAAGTCCTTCCAAACTCGTCGCATTATCATATTGACCAAACGCGGTTTAAGGGTTATTCCAATTAGGTATAAATAAATTCCATATTTCGCTCGAGGTGAGGTTCTTTTTTCCCGGCGTTAGAAAGAAATTCATGAAATCACATTTAGTAAATTGATAGCAACCAGAAAAAATGAGTTCAAAGGCTATGTTGGTTGAAACCTCATTTCACTTGTTTGATGGCCTTATTAAAAAAGGGGGTTTTTAAGAAGTTTCATGAAATTAAATTCGGTTTTAGGGACCTGAAAATAAACCTTACCTTTTTCCGGAAGCTGAGTCGTTTTGAACGAAGGTATCGCGAAGCTCTCATGTTTTCATCTCAAGAAATTGACCTGTCATCTCTTTCAGTGAAGAATGACTGACAACATGGCGGCCTTAGAGGCTATTGGATATGAAATGAAAGGTTTCATCCATAAGAAATTAACCTCCCACCTCATAAAGTCAGGGTCGAGGAGATTCAAACCAATAGGATGGAAGCCACAGCAACATTTACGATTCAGTGGGTCGAGAATTTTGTACGTTTTTCGAAATAATCCAAAGGTAACTAGAAAAGTCAAAGGTGCTCTTCAGCCTCGATATAATTTACATTTTGTTTCTTCCTTTTTCATTCGCCAATTACGAAGGTAGTTTTGCGATAAAAAAGAAGATAAAGCAAGTTCGACAAAAATCTTCGTCAGAAATTAATGTCGTGTGCTTGTAAATGCAAATAATTATAGGAAAAATTGTATGCGAACCACACTAACCGGAAAAAGGCATTTTGCAAATTAGACAACCGGCCCCGGCAATTGGCTAAGAACTGAGGGGAGCAAATATGACTAAATACTTAGTGCAGCTGAATACTTAAAGCTGCTAAGGGCAGTTCACAAATGAGGAACAGCGCTCCATCAGGAGCATTTATCGCTTGTCATGTTCTATTTTTTAGATGAATACCTGACTTACTTAGAGTCAAGTCTCTTAATAATTGAGAAAACATTTCATAGGAGAAATGACACACTGTTAAGTTTACATCGCCGTAATTTTTTTCAGTGAAAGGGTAGAGCTGGAAAATCCGGTAAAAAATACTCGATTCTCGATACTATCGAGAGGTCCCGAAAGCTTTGGTTTACATGGTCAGGTGCCTGGGTAGTTTCAGTCGAGGTAATTGAGATAGTCATGCGAACAACTGTTAGTTCTTTGCCAAAAATGTGAGAGATGGCCATATAAACTGGTGATGATAAAGCAATTTTCAATTGATTGTACAAGGTAACCTACGCTTCTGATTGGTCCAGAAACTCCTGCTACCCTCTCGACCAACCAATGCAAGACTAAAATTAATTACGTCTTTACGTTAATTACTAACGTTTTCCCGTGCTATGATCTGTTTGCATATTTGGCTCTTAAGGTATTATCCTTTACTGTTACTGGCCGATGTGATCTCTTCGTTTGGTTCTCACGACATTTAACGAGCTATTCCTGAGATGTCGAATACCTCTCCTTAAGAGATGGAAAATGGCGAGGTTGAGAATGGAAATCCCTGCGAAACTAAGTTTGTAATGTCCAATATTTAAACTTTATTCCAGAGTCACAATCATGCAGTGACAAAAGGTATTAAACTGGCGGTATTTATACTCAAGACAATTTGCATAGTACAAATTGAATGTAATAAATAATTAGCGTGGCACAGAATTTAAATAAGCTTTTAGAATAAGTCTAATTAATTGCCTTGTTTGTCATTATCTGAAGATAATTGGTATCAGTTAGGTAGTTTTGCAATGATTACCATTCTTAGCCTCACCCTTTTTCCCATCGTTAATAGAAAATGTCGAATGCTCCTGGAATTTCGTCAAACCACCGATATAAAACGAGGGTGATTGCGAAGCTTTTGATGACTTTTTATTCTCGCGCAAACAAAAAAAAATGAAAGGTTTTGCATCTAACCATGTTTTTGGGACTCGCACATGGCCCATTAAAGAAGGTATGTGTAGCTAGCACCTAGCTCACGTCCTCAAGAAGCGCTAATGAGGAATGAGTATGACCAATAAAAAATGATCCCGAAAATAATGAATGACCCACTGGCTTGTAGATAACTCAGGTCTTTATTATTTTGTTCAAAATAATTGCCATGGGAGGTATAGCACAATACTTGCAATATCTCTAAAAAATAAGCCAGGAGAGATATAGACAAGTGCTATAGTATTGATTTGATGAATATAAGTAACAGGCGTGCAAGGACCTTCTAAATGACTCATAACAGGATGGGTATTTTTTTTTTTGTCTTCCATCATTACTACTATCGCTGACATCATTCAAAAAAAGATCTGGAAATCATTTTTTCTTTTCCTATTTTACAGCTGTGGTAAGAAAATAAACTGTAAAACAAGGAGCTTCATTTGCCAACAAAATAAAAAGATTTTCACTCGGTTTGCAAGAACACATCTTTACAATATTTGCATAGATGCTTGATAAGTTTCCCCCTAAACCTGTTTCAACACAATCACTGAACCATTAATTACAGCAGGAGTACAAGCAAACAAGAGCATGCTATCAGTACATCGACAAGTGATGAATATGAAATTTATGATCATTCTCTGACAGGCTTAAGTCCATACATACACCTATGCATTAAAGGAAATTTATTTGCTTAAAGAAGGTATACTTTGAAGATGAAATTTACTCCATTCAAATATTAAAGTTGAGGATTTACTCATCCTGCATTCACTGACATTTGATTAACACTAGTCAGAGGGAGTAGAACAATAAATGGTACACTCATCAGCTTTGAAATGTGTAGTCTTTAGAACATGTACAAAATATTATGAACTAGAAATGCATGGAAAACGAAAAAATAATAAATTTGCATGAGACTTGAGCCATACTACCATGCACTTTGCCAATTTAAATTGCATATTAATTTACACACACAGACAGAATTTCAGAGTTTCCTCAATTTTGAAACATATTGTCACCATAAAAATCAGTCAAAGTACATATACAATAAAGCTATACATTGAAGGTAACCTTGCCTTAACCAGCTTTTCAACAAGAATTAAACAATAATTTCTTCAGTCTTGTCCTGGACTATTTATTTCTAAAATTAATGTACTATGGAAATACATGTGTACGAAACACCTTTGAAAAGGTTTTGTTGTGCTGTAAGTAAAGAGCAGGGCTTAAAGCCCAATGAGTATTTGGACAACAGTAGTCAACTCAGGTTTCTTCTTGACTAAGCATTACAACATTGAACTTTCTTTTTCTGAGCATCTTCATTTGTTGGATGTACGATAATGGGCTGCACATTATTACTTGGTTGGCTCCCATCACCACCTGGTGAATCATGAATTTGTTTTTGGGATACAATGTGGTAGATTTCTAAAAGGCAAAATAAATCATGATATTAATTGCAATATGAATGGGCAACTCAGCTCCAAAACTTTCAAGTAAATCATAGTTGTAAATTCTCTACAGTACCATCTTCTTACATCTGAACTTACCCTACTGTGTGATGATTGATCTATTACACTGATACCACCTTTTTCAAAAGAGCTTAAATATAATTACAGCTTGCAAGAGAATGCTTTTGAAGAAACACTGTACTGACCTGTTAAAATGTTGTGAAATGCCACCTCTACATTTGTTGAGTCGAGAGCCGATGTCTCAATAAATGAAAGACTATTTTTCTCTAAAAAAAAAAAAAAGTACTCTCTCCACATGAAGAATAAAATAAAGGGGCAACGTTTATAAAATCACTTTCACTTCCTCTTAGCAGTGTTAGAGTTTATACAAAATGGTGTGCCATGTAAATCATCCTTCACACCAAAGACATTGTTACCATCAAGAAGAGAGCCCAATTGTTATTGACTAAAACTATAACTACTGGTATTTCATAATTCTTCAGTCTAACAAGTAGTTTCAGTTCATGATACATTGGGCTACCGATCAGTTTGAAAGTTGAGGGCGTTAAAAAATGGTTGGCTGCAAGTTTGTTTTGTCAGATTATATGCAAGAATGGGAACTATTCAGATATAATGTCCACATGTGTTCCCCCCCAAAATTCCCACAAACCCTTAAGTACACTCTGAACCTAAAATAAAATTATGCCCAATGCAGCTACTGGTAAAATGTACACTTAGTTCCACTAAACACGGGGAAATGGCCACTGTACAAAATATCTTAGATGTTATTTCAATAATTGTACAATTGTACTCCAGCAGTCATGGGGAAATGAGATGAAAGAGATGCCTGCTAGGATAGACTGGCCAGTTGTTTTAGCTGGCTGACAGCTTCTGGCACTATATGTATTTACCGTCAGCAATAGCCGAGTAGGCACTTCAAGCTTCAAATTTAATAATTTCTAGTGTGTAGCTGCAATGTGCAAAATGTTAACCAGCATGCAAGGTTACTTTCACAGTGGTTATTTCCAAATTACCTGCAAAGGCTTTTGCCTCATCAGTAGGGACTGCACGAAGATGACGAAGATCGCTCTTGTTTCCCACTAGCATTATAACAATATTACTGTCAGCATGATCCCGTAGTTCTTTCAGCCACCTTTCCACATTTTCATAGGTCAAGTGCTTCGCAATATCATACACCAAAAGGGCACCTACAGCTCCTCTGTAATACCTAGATACAAAACAACTCAGTCAGTGCAGGATTACCCAAAACCCAGTAGAGGACAGACCCACAGATGACATTATCAATTAAAAGAACTTTGCTTTTAAATCACACAAAACAAATAAATTCCATGTTGCTGTGTGTCTGTACAGTTATAGATCACAAATGACATAAAAATATTGTAAAAACATTAGTGTATGCCACTTTTTTGGTTCCTACCACATTTTGACGTCATCTGTGATCTACATGTTTTACTGAACAGACACACAGCACCATGGAACTTATTAGCAATCAGGGCTCAGAAGAGAAAGGTGTACCATGTAGTAAGATATACAGAGGTTTCATTAACATTAAGAGCATGGGGCATTTGGATTTGGCTACCAGGCATACTTTACGTAAGCATGAAGAACCTTCCCTCACCCCTAAAGTCATTTTGAGGCAATTCCTAGAAAATTCTGTAAGTTCAAATATGTATTTTTCAAAAAGTCATAGGAAGAAGATACAGAATCCCAACTTGTACAGTATTTGTTCAGCTGAGATTTTGATGGCAGCTTGTGTTCCCAGCTGGTTAATTTTCCCTGTGCTGGGCTTTTATGAAATCCCTTGATAGAACATTGGTATTACCTAAGCAATTAAGGTAGTACAGCATGTGTTTCTTGTATTTCAATACAAAATTGTGGTCAATATCACTTCAAAATTGTTTGAGTTGTTCTCTGTTTGGTTCCAGGTACAATACCATAGTACAAGAACAGAGGAAACTACAAATCAAAACTAGTATGAAATCATTTCAGCCTAAAAATATATGTTGAAGTGTAACATACAAGTGTGCCGGATAATTATTTGACTACTTTTGTGCTGAAGTTGATTCCTAAGAAAAAGTCTTTAAAATAACTAGTAAGCTTCCATGAGGGATAACAGAGAAAGAGAAAGAAAGATAAAAATGGCGAAATGAGCCAATTTTTTTAATCAGTCCAACATCAGTAATGTCATCGTTTATGAACACAATGAGAGACTCCAGTGAGAAAAGTCTACCGACCACACTCACAACAACTTTCAGTATCAAAGTAAAAAAAAGATTTTCATTCATCCTTGATACAATGTTCAGAAAAATTTAGAGGAAATTGCTAGCGGGAAAGAAATAGTTCTTGCATGCAAGACTTCGGTATGACAGGAATATTGACAAGGTTTCTTCGCTAAATATTAGTTAAAACCTTGATCTATTTTAAAATACCCAAATAGGCTCAAAAATAAACTGAATTTCAAACTAGCAAAATCAAAGGAACAACCTTCTGAAAATTCAAGCTACTTCTTAAATCATAATTTCCATAATTGTAATCTTACGCTATCAAACACTTTGGTAAATTATTGTGATACACACCAAAGCGTCGCTCAATTTTGATTGATAAAAACACCAATGATTAGTTAACTGTTACTTGCATTTATATTATGAGTAAATTCAAGATTTTACTAACACTTACGCGCTTGTTATGGCTCTGTATCTTTCTTGTCCAGCT